GCGCCGCCATCTTTTTTTGATGAAAAAGTGCTTCCAGTGAGCTTTTCCGGGTAGAAAGCTCACCGGAAGCACTTTTTCATCAAAAAAAGATGGCGGCGCCCAGCAACCAGCGGCCCGGTAGGACTTGTTCCACGGACCGGTACCGGTCTGTGGACCGGTGGTTGGGGACCCCTGATTTAGGTTACTTCATTATTTCAACAGAGCTATTCTAGACATGGCCTTTCTGAAAAAAGGTTCTATCAACAGAGGAAAAAGAGAAGCTATCAGCCCCTTCAAAGAGAATTGGTCCAAGTAAAGGAGGGTGCCCTTTTTAGCTGCCCTTCCTGACCAGTAGGAGAAAAGTGAGTCAACATCAGTTACCATCATATAATATTGAATGATGGTAATTAGGAAGTATAGTGGACTATAGAAGGAACAGATCAGACATCCAGTCCTTGCTTATCAATGGAGACCGAGTGGAGCAAGTGTCCAGTTTTAAGTTTCTGGGTGTTATCATAAAAGAGGACCTGACCTGGGGTACTCACATTGCATCATAAGAGCCCAGCAGAGATTATAGTACCTGAGACTTCTCAGAAAACAACAACTGAATGAAAAACTGCTGGTGACCTTCTACCGCTGCACCATAGAGAGTATCTTAACTTACTGCACCTCTGTATGGTTTGCCAATTGCACAGTGGCAGGTAGAAAAGCACTCCAGAGGGTTAACGTCATTGCCCAGAAGATCATTGGTTGCCCTCTTCCTTCTTTGGAAGAGCTTTATAGCTCCCACTGCCTTAAGAAAGTTCAAAACATTCTCAATCTCATCCTGGGAACCCTTTTTTTGAACTATTACCATCTGGCAGACGGTACAGAATAATAAAAACAATGACAAATAGGCTGAAAAACAGCTTCTATCCCAGGGCAGTAGCTCTTTTGAATTCTACTGTATAGTGTAGTGTTGGTGCGATATTGGGGGTTTTCGGTTCAATGTGTGGAATGTGAAGGATGTGTATTTGTGTTTATTTTCATGGTCATGATGTGCACTGAAGATGATGTTTGATTTCATTGTACGAGGTGCAATGTCAATAAAGTAAACTAATTAACTAATTTTAGCAAGAAGTGGCTCTAAGTGCAGGGTTTTGATGCCAAGAAATTATGTCCTATTCTAGCTATAGACCACATTATGCATCCTTCATTAACTTGTAGCATAAATTAATAAAAAGTTAAGATAAAGTCCTATTTTTACTGTAATGTTTTCTTTCTCTCTTCCTCTATCTGAAATGATTATGTGTGTTATGTGTGAGTAACTCCACTTATGTTCATATTATGTTCATATGAACAGGATGGCTGCTCAAAAAGAAAGGATATTTCAACAGACAACTAAAGAAAGAAGATTAGGTTTGGGGGTCTCTCAAATGAGTCTTCTCCAGAGTTGCCTTCCATTGTTTTGTCTTGAATTTTTGTTATATGATGTAGGCTAATTGATCAATATCCTTAAACTCTGGACACACAGGCTAGCGCAACAGGATCAGATACTACCATAATCTTTGTCAGTTCATTCAGACTTTCTTATTTAGCAAGTTGTATTTTAAACATGTGAATAGTAACTTTTGCCCTCATCATCTCCATAATGGATTATTGTTATGAAGATTACTCAGAAGTTCAATTGTTATTGAATGCAACAACCCATTTGCTTGTCTAAATTCAGTAGTGTTACATCATATTGCACTGCTGTTTGGCCATGCACATATTTACCAATTTCATTCAAAAGGCTGCTTTTGATCTTGGGTCCAGGACATTTTCTGGACTGTCCTTTCTGAGTGGATTCAGCCTAATCCGTATGAACAAGATGGAAGAGATACTGTAGATCCCCATATCATGATATTGGAGTGGCAGGAACAAGGAAGCAGCCATTTTATGTGGCTTCCATGCCTGGTTAGAAATGCTTTTCTTCCCCAACTACAGATGGTACATTTACTTTAGTAATGTGGGAAAACTGCTCTTTTGCAACATATTTGAAGCCTAATATCTTTTACCTGGCACAATCTTACCTGCTATTATTACTGAAGTTAGTTACATTTTGATACATTATGTTTAGTATGGTAAATTTATGCACATTCCCAAAACTGACTGAATGGAATAATATAGAGGTTTTTGCAGTGTATAAATAAATGTAAATTTAAATTCATTATTACAAGAACATCACCTTGTATTAGGTTTCAGGTTTTCCACTGTAGAATGGGTTTGATTTGTGGTTATAATGGACTTATCTTTTCCAACTGTGCCTCCATTTTCTGTTGATACAACTTTATATTCTGAAAATAGGAAGATCATGTTCAATTCCATACATCATTTCAGTTTGTAAAACATCTTTATCTGTTGTCTATTTTTTTCCTTCCTCCTCCTACTGTAAACAAAATATAGTTCAAAGTAGTTTTTTTTTTAATTAGAAGATTTTATCAGTGAGTTCAATAAAAGATCCCTTTAGTTGTATAGTTAATAGAGACTAGAGGATTCCAAACTTGGCAACTTTAAGACTTGTAGACTTCAACTCCCAGAATTCTCCAGCCAGCATAGCCTTATTTAATGTGTCATATTTTTTTAAAAATTGCTAAGGTAGAAATCAATACAGAAATAAGTGATCAAAACAGACTGCCTCAACTTACTTAGCCTATGATATTGGTTTAATTATAATCAAAATGGACATAATTCGTAATATTTTCAACCAGAGCTTTTGGAGGAGGAATGGTGGACTGAAGATATCTCCAAGAAAGTGGAGCCAAGAACTGTAGGGAAAAACAACAACCAGTGATTCGAGTGGCTCTTCAGAACATCTCAGGACAAGAGGAAACAGGAGATCACCCACATGTGCTCCAAATACTGGTTGTCATGAAGAGAATGCATCTTTGTATCGGACGCAGGACCCTCGTCCGAGTCCTCCCCAGACTCCCGTTCCTCCCCACTGTCCGACTCTGCTGCCATCTCCGCAGGCTGCCAGTGGACCGCAACAGAGAGTAGAGTGGAGGCAAGCTCAAAGGAGGGCTGTCAGGCTACTTTGAGAAGGTCACCTTGTCCCTCCTCACAAGGAACACCTGGCATGGATTGACTTAAGGAGAAGCCAAGTGGAATTTATCTTTATCAGGAACAATTGTTTAACTCATGCTCCTGCCTATGCCTTGCCTTTGCCTTGTGGATTTACCTTTGGTCTTTTGGACTGGCCTTACCCTCTGGACTGGCCTTGCTCATTGTACCTTGACTCTGGGCCTCGCCCTGTGGGCTTGTACCTTCTCTTTGGACTTTCTTTGTTCTTTACTGACTTTTGTTTGGGGAACTGAGGGTGGCTGTCTTCTGGGTAGTGTAGAGTGGAGCTGTAGTGGCCATTCTATGGGCGTTTGTTGTGACATTTAATCAGAGGAATAAAGGACTCTATCGATGCCTACCTCTGACTAGGTGACCTGGGTCATAACACCATCTAAAGATCATCTATTAATTAATTAGGGTATAAATTTTAGTTAGAATAGAGATCAGAGATCTAGAAAAATTACTTTTAATAAAATAGGCTGAAGAACACTAATCAGTCCCCAACTTTTCAAAACAGTTTTGAAGAAGTGTGTATGTTTACACAATGCCTGGACTAGGCAAAGATCTTTCTAACCTGTTACACTTTCATTTTCAGGTGGTTTCCAATCCAGTACCACAAAAGATGGACATCCCTCAACAGTCACTACAGTGAGGTTCGTAGGAGGTTTTTGGGGGGCACTAGTAGCCATGTCTCTGTTGTCCCCCATATCAGTTGGAAAGAGTTGCATAGTATCTGTGATGGAACAAGGTACATCATCTTTTTTTTTCAGGTATTTCACATGGTCACCTGAAAAGACAAGATCAACATGTGCACTGAGTACAAAAGAGATGATAAAGCAAAAATAAATTACTTTAGATGGTGATATATTACTTCAGTAATTGTTCACATAGAAAAATGCTTTCCACAAAATATTTTAATTATAAGCTTCTTAATAAAGGAGGATTAGAATCTTTTCTGCCCTCTGATGTCTACTTATAAAATAACACAATATTATTAAAAAGAATTTATTTTAAGAAAGTGAAAGATAAAAAGAGCATATATTGCTTAGCAGTTTTTTTTCTTATGAGATATTTTAAACATACCTGTATACCTTGGTGTGCCTGTAATATCAGTCTCAGTTGTAGGAATAGAACTGAACATTGGATTGCCTAAGCAAACAACAAGAGCAAACATTAATGGAAACCCTGATTTTCTACCTTGTAAAAACATTTTCTGTTCAAAAGCTCTCATTTTAATCATACCTCATTTAAAAACCTCTCCTTAGATCATGCTTGGAATCATGTTAACATTTTCTTAGGAAATGTAGCATTGTAAAATAATAAAGTTGCTTTGAATTGTTGAAACTTTGATCATCTTAATCCAAGAAATCAAATTAGTAAATTTTATTTATTTATTTGTTTGTTTGTTTGTTTGTTGAATTTATATTGCCGCCTATTCGCCCATGGCAACTCAAGGCCGCTTACAGTATATAAAACCACATTTAAAACAATAAAAACTAACAAAAAGAATCAAATAAATTAACATAGTACAATATAACAGAATCATCCCCCAAGACTCACCCACCCCGCCCCAATGATAGCAGATCACATGAGCCATTTAATGGGCTCCATCCTGCTCTGGGTTCCCCAGGCCCGCTGGTAGAACTAGGTCTTCAGCACCTTCCGGAAGAGTATTAGAGTGGGGGCCATTCTAATCTCTGGGGGTATGATGTTCCAGAGAGAGGGAGTCACCATGGAGAAGGCCCTTCTTCTGGGTCCCACCAGGTGTATCTCCCTTGGGGATAGGACCTACAACATTCCCTGCCTCCCTGCTCTGATGGGTCAGGTAGATGTGACTGGCAAGAGACGGTCCCTAAGATAACCTGGTCCCAAGCCATGAAGGGCTTTAAATATGATAACTTTTGAATTACACCCAGAAGCAAATCAGCAACCAATGCAGCTCCTGCAGGAGAGGTGATGCATGTGCACACTGGGGTGTGCACAAAACCATGCGGACAACTGCATTTTGCACCAACTGGAGCTTCTGGATGCTCTTCAAAGGCAGCTCCATGTAGAGCACGTTGTAATAGTCAAGACAGGAAGTGACTAGGCATGAGTGACTGAGGGGGACTGTTGGTCTAGGAAAGGGCGTAACTGGTGTACAACCTGCAGTTGCACGAATGTCCTCCTGGCCACGACTGCCACCTGCTCTTCGAGTCCAGGAAAAGTCATGAATCCAGAAAAACCTCTAGATTATGAATGCTGTCTGTTTGGGGTAGTGCTACATCATCCAAGACCAAAGGTGCCAATTCTCCATGAGCCAATGAACCCCAAACGTAGAACCACTCAGTCTTGCAAGGGTTTCGTTTCAACCCATTGCTCCCCAAATTAGTAACTTCATGATGCTATAACTCTTTACAATTTAAAAAAAGGGGTTTTGTTTTTTCTGAACATTTTTGTGGAAAGTTATTTCAATAATCTATTTGTTTTATTACCTCTGTAGAGAGGGCAACACTTAAAAATGCTGAAATTAAACTAATTTAATCCTTTATTTTAAATCATGCTGTTTATCTTAATAGCTAGGGAAACATATAAACCAATATTCTTCTAGCAGAAAAGAATGTCAAGTAAAATTAATGTAAATTAAATATATTGATCAATATAATCTTAAGTGACTGGTTCAATATCAGAGATGGTATTCAGCAGGTTCTGACCAGTTCTGGAGAACCGGTAGCGGAAGTTTTGAGTAGTTCGGAGAACCGGCAAATACCACCTCTGACTGAAGATTTTACAGTATCCTTCCCCTGCCACACTCACCATGCCATGCCCACAGAACCGGTAGTAAAAAAAATTGAATCCCACCATTGTTCAATATACAGGTCCTTTTGAAGTAAGTGAGAATTAGCATGGAATTTTATAATGCTTCTGGAACTGATTGAAACAATATGAGATACCATTCAGAATGAACCATTCAAATTCTTTTAGCATGAGTATGTTTAAAACTATTTTAGGTTTATGAAATTGAATCACATTTAATGCCTATTTTCATAGTTTGAAAAAGTCCGTTTGGTGTTCTTCACAATGCCCTATTGTTTTAACCATCCTATATACTTTGATAAACTTGTGCCCTTTACTGTTCCTTTCTAATGTCACAGAATTTATGAAAATGCACTAATGTAACATAGCTACTAATTTCCTCACTAAGCCCATGCACATTACAGCCCTTGTCAGGGAAAACCATAGTTTTCCGATATTCTTTCGTTAGTTACTTATTAAAATTTCAACAAAATCGTGTTTGTCTTGGATGTCATGTTTATCTTTCTTAGGCAAATCCCAGGATCAAATATTATGCAATATGCTGACTCTGTAAACCACTTAGAGAGGACTGCAAAGCACTGCGAAGTGGTATATGTCTAAGTGCTGTTGCTATTGCTATTACAGAAGCAAATGCAAATGGTTGTAACTGCAACATCAAACCTGTCTCAGTTCCCAACTTTCCTGCAGTCAACCTGTTAGGACTCTCATGACTACTCCTAAGGCTCGCAGAAGTAAGGTATCGTATTTAATAGAGTAATGTAAGAAAAATGTGCACTGGATTGGTATCGTAACTATTGGAATTGCTATTAATTTAGGTGTTAAGCTACAAGACTGAGATTAATAAAAACATGGAACTTGGAAGTGTGCTATTCCATACTTACTGTAATCTGGAGAAGCTGCTGCTGTCGGTAGCTTTTTAGGTGAATTTGTTTTCACAAGGGAACTTGGCCAAGTGGGTTTTGCTATAGATGTTGATGCTCGTGGCATCAAGACATTTCCTATAGGAAAATAAAAAGAATTTGAATCAATTGGAATTTACACAGCTTGATTGTAAAGTAAACATGTCATAATGGTAAAATGTTGTGATTCCGGCATCTGCTACAGGTTTTTTGAATGACAGCTCCAGCGAGGAGGACTTATATGAATCAGCAAGTTCTAACGATGAGGAGGAGATGAATGCATTTGATTTGCAAGATCGGCTTGAACCTTCAAACTCCTCCACCCTTCAATTAGGTGGTCAGCCGGGAACGGGTGATAATGAGGAACCAATGATATCTTCAGGTGAAGAAGATGATAATTTGGATGATTGCTGGGTAGATGTCAGGACAAGACGTCTCCTGACAAGGAGGAACCAACGAGGATACAGTAGGAGAGCAGACCAGCAATTAGACTAATTAGTTACTCTATAAAGGGAGAGATATGACTTTGCACTTTGTCCGGAACAAAGTGTCTATTTGCAAGGAGAACTGAAGAGCACAGTTTGGAGGATTTTGATCTGAAATATCTTGTTGGGATTTGGATTTAATTCGTTGGAACTTCTACTTATTGGAATTATTTTGTGAAGGATTTTGATCTGAAGAATCTTGTTGAGTCTTGGATTTAGTTCGTTGGAACTTTTACTTATTGGAGCTATCTGTGAAAATTCCTGTTTGCTGCCTTTCTTTACAAGGACTGTTGCTTTCAGCCTTATCTGTTTACTTTAAAAGGTGGGACATAACATTTTCCTGTTTGCTGCCTTTCTTTACAAGGACTGCTGCTTTCAGCCTTAACTGTTTATTTTAGAAGGTGGGACATAACA